ATAAATTTATCAACCTCTCGTGAAACATGACGTTGAACGTTATCCTGAAAAGCGATAACTTTTCCAGACGACGTTTTTCATGAAATTCTGGAATGGTTTTCGCAATTACTGAGGCAAATTTCCCACTATTCATGGTGCCTTTGACTGATATTCATCGATAAGGCTGACCATGTTTATTCCTTGCCTAAATGAATAACTAAAGAGAATGGAACTTTTGGTTTCAAGCGCTCCTTGCTTCATTGTGGTGACAACAATACGAACATTCAAAGCTGTGCACAAAAATGACCTTGATTTCAAGGTTCACTTTGATTGAAGTGGTATTTCCCGAATTCATTGAGTTAAATATCAGACATAGATTATTATTACGAAACCTTATTTAATTCAATTTCTCTGGGTTATGGAAGAATTCTATTTGGTTATTCAATAGAGTTGCTATAATGGATTAGATATTGAATAAAATAATGCTTCATAACAAATAACCGAGATGTCAAGGGTTTATGGAAATAATTTAGGATAATTCTTGAGTCATTCCTATTAGAAAATATTGCGTTATCATACTTGATAAAGTTTGTGATTTTCATGTTCAGATCATTTAATCTTGGCACTCAAGGTCAGACATGTTTAATTGACACTTATGCAGACTAGAAACTACGTAGATCGAAGTACACAAGATATAAATTATTGTCCATACATAAAGCATTAATACAGGTGATTAATATAATGAAACTCCATTTGATTATAAAGAAAATATTTTGGTGAATTACAATCGGCCAGTACTGTAGTCGTTACAGGCAGCATAATGTTTTCACCACAGTGTATTTTTGACTGTGTAGCATTGCCAATGAGTTTTGAATAGAACTAACTACCTCAAGGGATTACTTTTAAATATGCACTTTTACCAACCGGGGATAGAGATGATACCGTTCATTGATTTTTTTCGCAGAATGTATACAACTTCAGTTCAGAGTTGTGGCTTCACATTGATTTCCAAAGCACAGTGAGACTAGGCAAAAAGACTAAATAATTTTCTACATTCTTGGAATGAGCAGTGCATGACGAGTGCTAGGTGCAAACGTCTGGGCCAAGAAAACGTGAACTGTAATCTATTGTGAATATTGTTCAGTGATTGAAACTCACACAGAACCCAATACCGACAGTCGAGCACAGCACATAAGTCACTTTACTATACCATGCCACAAATGTTGTTTGAATCAGCCGTAGTGTTGATCGTTTACGAGCTGGCCTTGGTGATGAGAACGCGCCTTCAAGAAGCACTATGTTTCCAAATGTCCAGCGCATGAAATCCGATACGAATCAGCAACAGCTGCATCTGGTTCAAGGGTTACCGGCATCATCGGCATGGTCGAGCTGGTTCACCAAATGGTTTGAATGCGTGAAACTAACGGTTCATGAACACTGTTGGGGAATACTTCGAGCAAATGTAATGCACATTTTTGTGCTTGAAAAGATAAAAATATTTGTGCATCCTGGAACTTCTTATAGATTGTGTTAAGTATACCTACTAGTGAATCGAACCGGCGAACTGTGAAATATTGTCTCGTCTAAAATGTGATTATAATCAATCAGCGAATATTTTCCATAAAAACAGAAATTGAAGACAAACTCACAAATTCATAAAGTATTCAAAATGGAATTGATCTTTAGTTTATTGATAAAGAAGATTGCAGAAATTCACACAATTTGTGCAATGAGCGAATGGACAAGAACAGGCAGATTGTCACACCTATCAGGGATCGAATATTTCATCAAACACACTGTCACAGTGCATCTACGTCGTGAATGGAAAGTGTGAAAGTGTGCAGTGAAAATATCAAATTATTTGGATGCAGATTTGCGTACTATCATCGGAGATAATCATAAGCGTGAAAACAAAAGGAATTTATCCAAAGAGTGCAATTGTTTGCACTCTTTCGTCATATCCAACGCGTATCACAACAATCATTCTATAACTTTTCATATGTCATCTCACTATCAAAGTGATAGATTTTTTGATTGATACAGGATCCCGTAGTAAAATTCTTACAAGGTTCGTACTTATCACATTGATTGATACAAACGTTTCGATTTCAAAATTAATGAAGATTGATTGGAAATTTGTTATCACTTTCATGCCCAGTCCAAACTAGGTCCCAATTTCTGTGGCGTCATGGTCAACGAAATCAACTCTATATGTACTTCTATTACCCAGGGCGCATTATGACTGCACCATTATTGGGTGGTGGTGGTGCAGTGGTTTAGTGCCTATCACCAGCGTGATATGGACCCGATGGTCTGGGGTTCAAATCCCTTCACTGCCACCAACTTAAGGGGTGCGTTGCTTTGTTGTCGTCCGGTTCGCTACCAAGCCTAACCTATCGGGGCCTTATGTGGTTCGCCAGGTCAAGTCCCGGGGATTAGGCTGCCGGTAACCGTCACTGGACTACAATGGAGCTTTCCTCGTCTGCTGTTCATCGCACGAAAGTGTGTAATGAACAGTAGACGGGACGGACCCCATAGTCAAGAAGATTAGCTATTCAGTGATGATAACCGGCAACCTAATCCCCGAGATATGAAGTGACGAGTCAAATAAGGCCTCGATAAATCAGGCTTGGTATAGATTGCAAAGCTATCTACCACCATTTCGTAATGAATCGATTAGGGATCAATTTGAAAAGGTGGGATAAAAATGCGGATCTGCAGGGTTTGTTCAGCAAACCAAAAAACGAAAAGGAGAAATCGTGAAGCTTTCAATTGAATGATGAAGACCCGTCTGCCTGAATTTAAGGGATCAATCACGTGAAGTGCACCACAATAAAACGGGATGATCGTATACATCTGTATACATATGTGCGTATCTGACTGATAGGTATTTATTCAAACAACCAAATGCAGATTTGGAATGAATAAGTAGATCTGTACAACTATAGTCCAACCTTCGATCCAGGCTCACGTGACTAGAACTCAAAGCGACTTGTGAATTGTTTTCCTTCAACAACAAAGTGTCAGAACAAATCGGTCGGCGCTTGCCCCCTCCCCCCAAAAAAAGACAATCCGGTTAGTGTATGAGTTTTTTTCAAATTTCTGATCAAGCTCAACCAGTCGATCCATTTGTGACGAATTAACGTATAACTGAAGCAAATTTGAATTGTTTTCAATCGCCAGTGTGTTTCCGAACTCCGGAAACCACCGAATGAAGGACGACACGGACAATTTAGTAAACAGATACTAAGTAAAAGCCTGTTGAAAATCAGAACACAGACGTGTGTAATCGATCAATGGACTAAAATGAAAACCTCTGTGGACAAATTGTTGAAAATCGGTTCTCGCGGCTCGGGTGAACTGAATTCCATTTCGTCTGTTTGCCGAGCTTGGCAAATTTTTTGCAAAACGTCTCATCAACTGAGGTGACATCATCAGTGCTGGGGGATGAATCGTTTGCAAACAAATCGCCAAGCTCGGCGAACAGGTGAAATGGAATGAAAACCTCTCTTCTAGTGTGTGTGTGTGTGTGTGTGTATGTGCATTCCACAAACAGTTCCGTGTTTCCAGATTGGAAAAGAAAACGATCAGAAGTAGATGTGTTTACGGTCGTCTGTTGCAATGTACACAATCGTAGTGACGATAAAGAATGAAGGAAATTGAAGTTTTGTTCGTGTGCAATCTTCCAGCAATTTCATTTTGAATGTTTATGCGGTAACTGGATTCTGTTTTGTTAGGTGATTATTATCTAAACAATGCAAATGTCTTTTTACTTCCTTTTTTTAATTTATTGAATATACAGTAAACTTACAAGAAGGGGGCTGCGGCCATACAAAGGCTGCCTGGAGAAAAACAGAAACAGGGAAGACCGGGATTCAGTGGAGCGGTTCGAATCCGGGACTTCCGGGTCACGAGTTGGCGACCTAACCAATTGGTGGTATTTGTTCAAAGTACGGTTGTGCAGACGCGTAGAATGCATTGATGCGGGAGGCTCTGCGGGCTGTATATTAGATGATTATCGAAATAAAGAAGACAAAATGTATTTTGTTCTTTCAGCACTGCCTTGATCAGTCCTCATGAACTAAGATATTCACGATATGTTCCCAGGTGCTAAGTCAGGATTGCATCTTGTTTGTAGTGCAGACTTCAAAACCGGTAGATCTAACTATCTGGTTTTCGTTTGCGGATCAACTATTGAACTGATAGTGCACTGGAGACTCACAACAGATGAGGCTGGAGGAATTCTGCTTAAAATAGATTCATTTTTGCACCCTTCTCCTACTGTGCAATTATCCTTTTCGTATTTTTATTGTAATTCATGCACCATTAAGTGCCAGTCCCTAGTGCTCAAAAATAATACACTCAATAATTTTAACGAAACGTCAGTATCTCAACGGCTTCATATCTCCCCAGTCCACATCTTCACCTTTCTGTCTACGGTGAATTTCAGTGCGTACAGTGCGTACAGAATGATCGCTTCGAGATATTGGGCAAGAGTAATTTCATTTAAGATAATACAAAATTACTACACGATGCAAGACCTCAAGCTCTGTTTGAAATCTTTCCGCGGCCAAAAGCTTGGTTGACACTGAGTTGACCATGACTGTGGACACATACTGACTAAAATCATGCCAACCTTATTGAATACAAACTTGTCTTGCACTCGACAATACTGGAGCACGACTAGTACTTCTATGACTGAGCGAATTCCAGCCTTGACGCGGTAAAATCGGACCACAGGTTAGGTCATTTCATGAAATCTACTTCGTCCAATGTGATTATCATAGCATTGTTTTTTTTTAAAGATTTTCAGATTTGTGGCATCATTTGTATTTCCATTCGTGCATCAATTAATTCTCACATCCCGTTTACATAAAGATCAGCAAACTAGTTTCGTTTATTAGTTGTCCAGTACTGATCCGAGGATCACGTCCCGGTGGTATTGATCGAGTCAACCAACTTCAATGCCAACGTTCTGCCCCCCCCCCGCGCCCCCTTAATCGCCTCTGTTGTCAATACAGATTACTGGGTCGAGAAGTGTCAAGCCACCCTGAGTTCGGTCAAAGCGAATCGTAGAACTTATAACAGTGGTAGCACGGAACTTCGCCGATCCAAATTGACCAATCCGACAAGCACCAGACAATTGGCTCCGGCCAGTCCTCATCCAGAACTGATTCCACTAATTGAAAATCCAAGTAAGTCATATAAGATTGATGACTATCTGCCTACGATTGTACTCCCATCTCTTTCTGGAGTTTTTCATATTTGATTCTGAAGGGGGGGGAGAGGAAACCATGGTGTAATGGTGTAATCATGTACATATGTTTCGGGACAAATTTAAGTACACATGGATTTCTTGGTTGATTCGGTAAGATGGACTCATTCATACCCTGTCGGTACAATTGCCTTGCCTCAGGAATTTGTTCCTCTTTTCAGGCGTTACAGTGTGGTTTTACATAAGCTTACGAACGCTGGATGAGATCTCTACTAAGAATCGAAACACTCTATCGGTAAACTATTTGCTTATAATTAATTATAATAATAATAATAATAATAATAATAATAATAATAATTATTATTAGTAATCACAATGTTACTATCTAATCACTTTCTTCTTATTCTGAACTATTGACTGAAAGATACGGCTGAAATAAGCCGCATTCATCTCACATGTACCACGGGGGAGATTCTTTGGCATTATCAGAATTGTTCAAAGTGTTGTTTGGTAGATTTGAAGTTCTTATGTCGATTGTGAAATATTCATTAGCCCTCGGTGGGCTTCAAACACACGCATGAACGCCTCCTAAGCTTTGTGTATAGCACGCGCTCTACCAGATGAGCTATGAGGCCATACCGGAATTCTTAGTGAGGCAGTGGTACTATCTTTGTCCAAGTGAGGATTCAAACGTTCATTAAGTTGAGACGATATGGCTATCATTACTAGCCTCATCATAGTCTCATTGTGGTCGGGGTTGGTGTCTGGGATTGTAACTGGTCACCATTCCCTTACACCTCGCGAGCCGCTCCTCTATGACCAAGCGTCTCAAATAGTCTCTGTTGGGGAAGCCCTATTCACTACCTACCCGTGGCGGAGATATTTTCCCACCAAAGTGAGGGAACGAAGAGCCAACATCTGGTGAACCACTGGCGGTTCACCTAAGGGAGTTGGCTAAAACCCTGATTCCAAACCAACCAAGAAGAGGCTAACGAACCACACACACCTTCCTGATTGCGGCAGTGGTCTCCGGCTCAATTGGGCATCAAGATGTATTGAGTACCTTGGACGTTTGACCCCGTCCAAAGGGCGTATGATCCAATGAACTGGAGACCGGCTTTCAATGGACTGCGGACTCTGAGCTNTCTGAGCTCCATCCTGTTCATTTGCAGGTCTGGCCTTCTATTCAAAGACACTGGTTGGGACCCCGAGGATATCCCGCTTCCTCTGCCAGAGTAACCTGGCTAGCTATATCATGATATAAGTTACGAGATTTCCACTGGACGCGACCAGATCCCCTAAAATGTCAGCTAAACTTTTCAAGGCTCAGCACTTTCAACATGTGGCTGTCACCGTCAACAACTAAACCAGGTTTGCTGTCTGGTGT